TTTTGCCCCCCCCCCCCCCGCTGCGTTCCGTCTTCTCGATCGCTCGCCCCCGCCCCCCACGGCGTCGGAGTAGTCGCATATACGCAACGCACAACGTCAAACAGAAATAGTCGAGATCGTTCATCCGCCTTTTCCGCATTTCCCCGTGGCCGCTATCACGTCGCGAGTGCCCATTGTGCGCTGGGCGGGGTACATCGTCGTCGTAATCGGCGTAGATATTTCACTATATATATATATATATATTATATACACACATATGTATACCGAGAAAGCTTTCGTCAGCTCTAAAGCTTTTTCCGATCGATCGGTGCAATGTATACACTTTTTGTGAGTGTGTGTGTGTGTGTATGTGTAAATGGTGATAAATTAACCTTGCCGCCATTGCAGGCCATCGGTCGCCGTTGGAAACTGTCCAGCGCTTTACGTCGGACCGTGGTTATATACATGTATATATATTGAATGCTACTCTCGGATAAAACGACACCAGGTTTGTCGTTGTATTATGCCGGTGTAGCAGTACGAATAACGTAATATATATACCAGTAGTAGTGGAGGTGCGTACATGCATATGTGTGTGTGTGTGTGTGTGTGTGTGTGCACCGTGTTTTTATTTTAAACCGGTCGACCACCTTACTGATTTACGATATCGTCGATTGAAAAAAAAAAAAAATACAGAATTAAATGGACTTTTATTTTTTACAAACGGTTGATACCGACAAGAAAAAACCCGTAAAAGTTAAATTATATATATACCTGTTTTTACATGCTGATCGATTTGCACGCAAATATAATATTGTTGTATTATATTGTTTTAATATATGCGTGCCCATTGTAGAGGGGCCAAATGTTTGTAACGGCTCCCATGAAAGCCCTCAGGAATAATAACAATTATTGGTATAGTCGGTTTCGTAATAAAGTGTTGTCAGTGTCCACACGGGACGGATTTAAACCTCTGCCACAATAATCGCACTTTTTCAGAGCCACATAGATATATGTAGCTCGCAGCGTACCGCTCGCAATCAGCTTTCGCCGAAGCATAAAATCATAAATGCACCAAATGTTTAAAGGATTTACTGACGTGTCATCGGGATTATCATACGTCGTACATATACTACCATATTCTATAATATAAAAACATATCTTATGAACGATGACCGACCAAATTGTGTATGACTCCAATCGCACACGACGACGAGGAGGTTTAAGTCGGATATTTCGACGATTTCGATTATTTTCAATTTATAAAAAAAATTTCAAACTACTGTTGAAATATAATATAAGAATGTGTGTAATATTCCTATAGAAAAAATTTAATTTACGATCTTACACTGGCCATCACGACTCGTCAGTGACAAAATAATCAGTTGTAAAACAACTCGTAGCCAATGTTATTCGATTTTTTTAGAACGATACCCACCCCGCCGCGATCATACGCCTTGCTCCGCCCGTAAGGTGTTTGTTTTATTTTTTATTTCTCAACACATACGTATTCTCTGCACACACCACTGCGTCCCATTAAAACATTTAATGCGATTCGGTACACGTGTGATATTATGACACTAAAAGTTTAGGCCTCAAAAACGTGGATACCATAATCGGATCTAGTATAACTGTGCATAAAATATTCTTAGGATATTCATTTAAATGGTTATTTTTATTATATTCATTCGGAATCTAGAAAATATCGAATCTGTGCCTGTTGAGAAATACATACCAATCGAATAAAATATCTTTTATTGCATCGAAGAAATCATTGATATTACCTATGCCTACATACCTATATGTATTTATTTGTTAAGTTATTTTCTCTGGTCTGTGTGTACTTACTTCATTTTTTTTCCGCAACTGCAAGATAAATAAGAATAAAATATACATGTATTATAATGTATATAATATATTGTATATATGAAATAAAAACAAACATCATAATATTAAAGCAGATATACGTTTTATATAAGCACCTACACTTATAAAATATTATATGTATGTCGATGCATATAATATAATATTATGACGATTCGTAGAACAAATAAAATAAGAAAAATATCGGAGTCTCAATAATATATAACTAATATTAATACTAATAACATATTGACTATATTATTATATTATACAGCCGTAGGTACTATAAATATATCCGAAAAAAAAATTGTTTACTTTTGTGACATAAAAATTGAAATTCCGAATGAAATATTTTAAAGATACCTATACATACTCGTATTATATAGTGACCTTTTAACAGGTATCTATACTTAAAAATTAAAATGTTTAACACAAGTCATAACAAATCTTTCGAGTTATACAATTCCACTTATAATATCTATAAGCTAACACAATATGAAAAGGTTTTAAAATTGATAATAATTTCCAATTCACATCTATATTCTATATCCAAAGTGAAAAAAATATACTCATTCAGTCTAATATGTACTTACGTCCAAAAATATATTTTCTTTCTATGTTTACATTATTCATTGCAATTTCTGCAGTTATTCGTGTGTATATGTTTTAATATATAATATATTATAGCTTTAAATGTAGGTACCATAATTGCATTATATATTTTATCGTATTATATAAAGTTGCTATTTGAATTTACATTATAAAGATTAGAGTTGATGAATGAATACCATATTCAAACAGCCAACAGGTGTCAACTATAAGACTTGATTTACATAAATTATTTAAGATGTTTTTTAGATTTGCATCTAAATCTTTAAACAAATACTACATATTATTAAATCGTTGTTCTGTTTTTATACAGATTTATTATTTTAATCATTATCATAGTAAATCTACCTACACAAATAAAAATGACGGTTGTCTGTATATTTTAGACACTGAGTAGTGTTCTATTGGTTTTACAACTACATTTTCTTTTCAATTCTTGACTGCTATAGTTTTCTAGTAACGCAAATCTAAAAATTTAAAGAGACCCTATCTTTAGCTTCGACATTTCATTTAGTTCTTAATTAAAAAGAAATCTTTTGATTTTTAATTAGTTTTTTAAAAAGCGTAAGAAATCGTATAAAACTTCATAATCTGAAAATTTGGCACACAATGTTAACCATTTACTATTGTTTATCTGTACCTATATACCTATAGGTACTTAAAAACCTGCGCAAAGTTAACGATTTATTATATTTAACGAAATATTTTAAATATTTTATATTTCGTTCATAAAATTGTTGTACACGTATAGGTAAGGTTTACTTTTCAAATAATAGTTTAAAGTTCAAATTATTTGTTGAGGTTTATTTTAAATTAATTTGTATTGTAATTTTCACTACATTTTGTAAACTTAACATTAATTTTATTCATTACTCATTACCATGCTAATTTAATCTTCGAAGACACTAATCATTTTTTCGACTTCGTTGTTTTACTTCTGAATCAATATTTATCGTATCAATGTGAGCAACAATCTGTACAGTCTAATATTTTTTATGAATTATTAGTTGTGTATGTGTTGTCACTATTTACATTATCTAATAATAAAATGTTTCCCTTATTTATTTTACCATTTGTTACACCGAACTTGTTAGCTAAATGTAAACAGTAAAGCAATACATTTTATTACATATTATTATGATAGTGTTTTGTTATAGTGCAAATATTGAAAGCTTCTATCTTGATATTTTCACACTTGAATAACTCCTAAATCTGATTTATTAATAAAAATAAATAAAACTACACGTTTCTGTGCAATATAAATGTGTTAATTTAATGTTAAAATTATGTACTGACAGTAATTTATCACTCCACGAGTCTTTTTCCATTGAACAATTTAAATTTCATAAACTTTCTGTTGTCATTATAAACAAACATATAATGGCCCACATAATATACTCTTATCCCTGGCCGTTTTGTATGGAGATCCTTATAATACGTTGTGGATCGTATCCGAAATTAAATTCAAATAGTTTTCTAAATTGTTGCGACCCCCTTTCATACGACTGCGCGTGTTGGTGTCCCATGTGTTAAAAGCATATTATGGGTTTTCATTAAAAGGTCTTGGTCGCGTGTAAACGGCGGACGGTCCTCGTACGGAGTAAATTTCGGCGACATCGACAGGTGTATACGAAGCAGCGGATGGCCGGGGAGTGGATGTTTTATGGGCCCCAGGCGAGTCATTCCATGGCGACGCCCTTGGAAAAACGTCTATCCCCCAGAAACCGACGGGCCACGTCTTACGAGGGATCCGCCGACCGTTCATTAATTCTTAATTAAGTACCGCAAAACGGACGGGGAAAAAAGTAGTTTTAGCCGTAAAAGGAACAACGGGGAGAACCAAATTTGTTCTCCAAACAGTTACCAGCTACACTGCAGCCGCTGACGGTCTGGCAATAATGGCGTCGGGAATTCAATTTAGCCTAATATTGTTTTACTTATCAAGAATTATTGCTTTTTTTTGTCAGCGGAATTTTTAATCACTTTTGTGTGAGACAAGAGCGGAATAAGTTTAACGTGTATATATATACAGATATATATATATATATATACATACGTATATTGATTTCTATGTTTTTTTTCGTTGCAGGGAAGAAGACTGCAGAAGGTGCCTGGTGATCACGGAAAAACACCAGAACGTGATACAGTACAAAGAAAGTGAGTTTTAGCATAAAATATTTTTCTCTTTAAAATTAATTTGTCCTAAAATCGATTTCCTCTCTAACTGAATTTAAGTTGTTCAACAATGGTAGGGCAGAGGACAGTACAAAAAAACTCATTTAACCGACAAACAATTAGTTTTCAGTTTAACTTTTTAATTAACATTTTCGTCCTTCCTACAGTATGCGATCGTCCAACTCCCCCCTCCCACCACAACATCATGTATATACATATATACATACACCTACTATTTTTTTTTAAGTCCGCATAATTGTGTATCCCAGATCTATAATGTTTAGATTGATTTTTTGTTGCTAAAAGCTTAATCGATTTACTTTCAAAACAGTTTTACTAACCTTTTATTTTAATACTCATACCAGTATATTGGAAAAAATATATGTAGTAAAATCACAGTTATAAATGTTGTCTATTTTATATGCTATACTTATCATATAATAATTTGTTTAACTATGAAATAGTGTTATGAATGATTTAGATTTGTATATTCTATACATTATATAAATGTACTCTTTAAATTCTATACACAACCAACAGCATATAAAATATATGTAATCTTATAGAAAAAAAAAAGTTTCAGTCATAGTATCAATGTATATTTTATTATAATATAAAGTGTCAAAACTCAATTTAATGACTAAAACATGTTTATTCATAGTTTTTTTTTTTTATTGCATTTTAATTGTATAAGCAAGTTAATTTTATAACTATATAAATAATTCATATTTGCCAAAATTATTTTTTCAACAAAAGACACAATAAACTTTTTAATTGTATAGAGTTAATATAAAATGCCCATTTAACAAACTCAGTTCAATGCATAAGCTAAATAATTTAAACTTCGAGAGAAATTGTTTATAATTAATCAGCAATGAACAAAATAATATACATATATATATGTAAATGTATACAGTTATTATAATATTTATTAAAAATAGATTACTTCATTTGAGTATTTGAGTTCAGCGAAACTATACATAGTTATAAGATTGACGTTCGATTCGTATAATAAAATTAATATAAATAGGAAATATACATAACATTATTTATCTTATTTTAATAATATTTAGAAACGTGCATATAAATTAATGAATAATTTCCTGTTCAATAAAAATGTAATGCGGTATTACATTATTAGATTTTAATATAGGTAAATCAATATTTATAATATATTTAGTGATGAAAACTGTTTTCTATGTAATTCAGTGTAGAGTTGTGCAATATAGTTAAACTAATATATATTTTTCTATATTCGATATTCACTAATTTATTTAATACAAAAAAAGATTTTTTCCTAGAGCTATGTATGTATAAGTATTGTTCACAAAAGAAGTAGCCAAAAGTACATAAAGTTTAATGTAGGTTCGGTAGAAGAAAATATATATTTTTTTATCTGAAAACGTGATCGGTTTTTCCTAACATTCTTATGGACATCTGAAAATTCGCGTGAAACCAGAAAATCTCTTAAAACCCTAAATTCCCCGAAGTACCTCGTAAAAAAATCGACGTATTTTGTAAACCCTGGACAACGTATGATATTACTCGTGTGGAACGAAAGATATTGACTAAAATTCGTATATATAAACACATTATTTTGTTTCTGGTTCATGCATATTGCATATCTCGTCCTGGCTTGTTTTTTACCACTTTATTTCTCTACTCGAACCATTATTCTAAATTATTGTTTTATGGTCGGGAGCTTAATAGCCTGGCAGCAGTAATACGTTTATAGTGAAATAGTTTTATTTAACGACGGGGCTGGGGGTAGAAATAAAGTTACCTCAAACCCAATACCTATCATCCGTGTCACATTCTTGAATTAAATTGACGTGTTTAAAAATCTGATGGAAAAATCCTATGGTGACTTACTACACCCACAAACGCGCGCATATAAGCATACAGTTGGGTGCACCTTTCAGCGGCATAGAAATTGCAGAGTTTGGCTGTTAAATCGGCTTAGGGCCCCCCAGGGCCTTACTTACACGTCTCTCCGCCTCATCTCGCTGCCAAGTCTTTCCCCGTCTTTAATAGCTTCTGCACAACAATCCTCGGGACTCCATTAACTAATAGCCTATCCCACTGGACCACCGTCACAGTTGCCCATGGCAACATGACAACGACAACGGGCTAATTGTATATATATATTTTATATTATATGTTCCAGTGTAGCAAAAAAATAATACTTATCGATGGAAAAGTTATTTCCCATTTCCATCCACCTGTACTATATATGAAAATATATTCAAAAACGTAAAAGAACGTAAAAAAACAAAATCTTCCGTATACAACATCCATTCAATACCAGGAATCTGTCATGATAAGAAATGACACTGTTAAATAGGGTTTTCCACTTGAATACGTTGCAGTCAATAGCCGGGTATAATGCAAAAGTTGCGCATGTGTACAAGTATTTTTTTCTTTCTTTCCTTTTTGTTGTTCAATTCCTATGATTTCCAACAATACAGCTGTCTCGAATATACGATATAGTCGAACATAAAAACATGTTTTGTCAAACGTATGTGCATAATATTTATTGAATATGGACTAAATCAATTAGTAGGTATATCTATATATAGCATGAACATAAAAGAAAATCATATTGAACCTTATAGGTAGGTACTGCTTTAGTGAGTGATGAGTATTGAAGCGTAATTCACTTATGCTTTTGAGTTATTCATCTATTATACATATAATACTGATACTAATAATCTAAAAAATAAAACAAAGTTTATTTTAGTTAAATAAATATACTTAACTACCTTGAAGCCTCTATACTTGCCAATACTCTAAACATCGTTCTGAACGTTTTTTATAATAAATAACTAACACATCTTGTCTTGTATATTTTATTATGTACATTATACAACCATAAACAAAGTTCCTTTCTGATAAAACTTTTAACATCTGAAAATCTAAAAGTTGGAAACCTTAAAGTTTGGAAATTTACAATGTACTACATAGGTTTCTCTGAAGTTAATCACTATACCTGGCTGAACTTCAGGTAAAAACTACTGCTGTACTCTAAGTGTACCTAATCATACATATTTCTACGTTTAGCAATGAAACTTCAAAAACATTTAGATTTAATGAAACTAAAATGTTTTACTGGAGACTGACTTCAACAAACAAATTCTTTATAATAAAATATAATGTTTCAAATTCTGCTTCGCATCGTGTGCGATGGTAAAACGATGGGTGTGTAACTGACAAGACGAGACTTCCGTTAAACTTGCGATCCTCAATAATGAGTTGTATTTTAAATATAAAACTAGATAGGATATAGGATATATATATAATTTTTAAATTTCATATAATTACATCACTTCCAAATAAATTATAACTGTCATTTTTAGGTTTTAAAAATAAAACCGTCAAAGTATAATTTACTTTTTATACTCGTATATAAGGCCCGAATACCTAATATAATCGCCTCTGGAGCTGTCGTTGTGTAGTTATGACTAATAAGATGCTTCACGAATTGTGCTTGATTAATAATTGCCTTAAAAATTATACCATCAGTGGTGGACAAGAACAAGTATTTTTCATATCTGTTTAGTTTCCACTGTAACGGTATAATAATAATATGTTCCATGTATAAAAACCGATGTCCGTCTTAAGCCCACTTTTAATTCCTGCAGTAGTATTCACGTTTTGTGTATTTTTCCGTATTATTTTTAGATTTAGATTCGTTTTATATGAATAATTGTTACGAATGCACTGACATAAGTAAATAACAAAAATAGCTATTGTTAATAATTACTATTGTTTGCAATTACATAGGTCAACAATAGTCGTTATTATATTATTTCACACGATTGACCGGTACCGGATAACGCGGAATCTGACTTGTTATTTGCTTCTATATATGTGTCAAGTACTGAAATATTATACTATACCGCATATTCCATTAGTTCTATTCAATCAATCATCATTTTACATTTTACTACGGCTGAAACGGTGTATATATTATAAAATTGATAGATCTGACAATACGGCGGTTACAACAACAAATTGTGTTTATTTCATTTCTGTGTTTCAATTACACGCTACCTTCGAACTTCGAATGAGGTAATACTGGTGTACACCAATATTATAATACTTGTTTTACGGTATTATATTCGAAACATGCATACGCGTATACACTGCCCATGACATTGGATATTTTCAACTGAACTATATTATAACAAATACGGTAAAAACAAAAATGATTTTCGATTAAAACTTGTGTGCACACCTCTCTATTAATTTGCTTAATGTTATGAATCATGACGTGATTGTTTTTAAATTGACGTGAACGATAATAGCACAATATGTTCAGTTTTGATATACGGCGCCGATGGCCGCGGTGTATAATATTATGCATTATTATCAGAAAGCATTCTCCGCCTGTCCGACAGACCGTGAAAAACAATAACGAACAACCCTCGCCTACTCCCCCACTCCCCCCAATCCACAACTCTGCGAAATCGTGACTGCTTTTGCTATTAGGCATTTTTCGAATCAATTTTTTGCATTGTCCGCACTTGACACGTGTGAATATTCATGAACTCTTACTGCCCTTTATATATTATTATGATCAAAACGGCCTAAGTGATTTCGAAAACTATCTACTCAGCTACGCCCGAAACACATGCACACGAATATACCATGTATACGCGGTAATATTATTCGTCCTGACTCGCATTGGTCTCTCGTTCTGCATATTGAACTCGGCGCAGCCATTTGTATAAATTTAAACACGGTCACTCTTCGGACTATTGAAGTATATATTTTCATTAAAGTTATATTATTTTAATGTACCTATCTGTTTAATTTGAATAAAATCAAACATGTCGTTGTAAGTGAAAAATAATATGGAATCCAATTATATTGATATCATAAAGTTTTATGTACCTAGGTAAATATTATAATACCCATAGGCATTAGGCCGGTACGCATACCTACCGGTTTTTTGCATGTTTATTAATAAAATAATCCTA